AGTCTTAAATCGGAAGGGAGCTGCTTCTCTGTGGTCTTGACAAGCGCTGCCTGGGCTCCACCAGCTCAGTAATAACTGAGTGACCTTTTCTTTGACTGTATTATGTCTGGCTGGGAAGGGATTGCATTTTGCAGCTGAGAGCCGGGGCTTCCTTCAGCTCGGCTCCTTGCGTGCTGCTGGGGTAAGTTGTCTTGAGCCAGGACGGAGAGACAGCCTCGGACAGCAGTTGCCTAAAAGGAGGACACCTGTGGCTCAGATGCGGTCAACACCATTACTTGGCGGATCCTTGAAGGACCTCATTATTTTAAACTTAAAAAAATAGATTCCCTCCCCCTCTTTTTTTTTTCAAACAATGCTTCTTTTTGACCTTTCCCAAGGAGAAGCGCTACAAAGCAGCCACTGTGCTTTCTGAACCACCTCCCCCTGTATCGCTTAATTGAGAAGGTAAGTGCAGCAACTGTGTACACACGCGTCGGCTTATTTGCGGTGTGTGTGTCTGCGGGTGCGCGCGTGCGTGTGCGGATGTGGGTATTTTTTTCTTCCCCGAGCCTCCTAATGAGGCATAAACTGGAGCTGCAGCCCCGCTCTGCACTGCAACTTTCGCTCGGGCTGCAGCTCTGCTGAGACGGTTTTGTTTTAAATCATGTGAGGGTTCATTATTTTTATGATGAGACATGAAATGCAAGCGGAAGATGTGGATGGAAGGAGGAGAGCGGCTGCGGAACGTCTCAAGTATGACTCGAGTGGATAATAGTCAAAGTTCATGCTGAATTGCAGCATTTCCACACCCCTGACTCCCCGGGACAGAGGGGCAGGGAGAGTTTGGCATTAGGAGATGCATGCTCTGGGCCGGGCCACAGGCAGGGAATTGGGTCCTGGGTAGGTTCCTGAACCCCCTTCTCCTTACTTGCTGGAATCCATGACCCCCCCATCCCCAACCCCAAGAGTTGAAATTGCAACCTTTTGGTTCTTGTTGACACTTCTGCTCCTCCGTACTCTGCCATAACTCAATGTGGTTCCCAAGAGATGGAAAAGTGACTGTTTAGAAAGGAGGAGATGGTTGGGGAGAAGTGTCCAGAAGAGCGAAATTCCGTGGAACCAGGTGCCTATGTCCTAATAGGTTCAGATCCAAACTGATGCAGCACATTTTTACGGGGGGCTTCCCAGATAGCTGTTATGAAATACAACTCAGATTTATGGTCTTTTTCATATTGAACATGATATGCTATGCTAACGCTGCATGTGACAGTTTAATCAAATCCATTTGTTACCACGAAGCTAAAAGGGGCCGCTGGGATTTTAGGATTATGGGCAGAGTTAGGGAAGCATGTGGCTTTGTCATTCGCCATCATTTTGCACACTGCCACACTGCGAGGGGCTCTGTGTGTGCGAGGGGCTCTGTGTGTGCGCCGCGTCTCGTCTGGCCGCACTCATCCCTTCCCCCACCCCCTGCCGCCACTCCGACCGGCTCCTAAAGTGGCTTCACAATAGTCGGGTCCTCAGCGGTGTAGGCTGCGCTCCAGTCCACACTTGAGCTAAATAAGGAGACCCCCTTCTACGTCTACCTTTGGGCTTGGTGCTCAATGCGAAGCCGCTGCAACTCAGATACGCCTAAGTCAACTCATGCAGAAAAAGGAGAAAAGTTTTGGTAAGGTTACAATCTATCATGGATGCACTTTGCCGGCGCTCGGCACTCTCGGCTGCTCAGAAGCCTCCCTACTCTTCCGCTGCTTTTGTGTCTTTCTAAAAGATCCAAAATATTATTGTTGTAACTGCTTTGAAAGACAGCTGCTTAAACCAATTAATCTGGCTAGGTGCAACAAATACTGCTACATTCTTTGCAAATCATCCCTTGTGTGGCTGCAAAGACACAACCACAAAAGGCTGGAGCATAACTCCGCAAGGGATTCTTTGTTAGAGTGTATGTATGTTTCTTATTTTTTTTTATTTTGCATGTGAGCTGCATCAAAATTGAACTCAGTCTTGCAAATCTCTTGTTGGCCTTTGCCAAGCACTAGCACTTTGCTGCCATGGTAACTGTAATTAAACTGATAAGAGTGGAAAAATGTCAGTATCTCTGAGCCTTGCAGCTGCATTGGAGAAAAAGGGAATCAAATTGGTTCCCAGCTCCATTGCTCAAAAAGGGGAGGGGGTGGTGGAAAGATGGGGAGGGGCTGTTGGGAGTTGAAGGGGCAGAACAGAGTTAAGCAGCTCCAGCGTCTGCGATCTGGGGACATCTATTTGCATTGTTGTCCCTTAGGGGGCTGCAGCCTGTAGGGATGCTCTGGGCCAGTGAACAGAGAGAAACAAGCTTTTAGGCCCAATCCTGTTCTCCAATTGGGGCTGGGGGCTGGGAGAGGATGAAGATGGGCAGGAGGAGAGAAAATCTTTTGTTTGGTACCTCTTGGCAATCGAATGGCCATGTTGGCCAAATTCTTTTAATCTGTGTCACTGCTCCCAGCTGCTGAACCTGCGTTCCCATTTTAGCATCTTCCTGAGGCATCTCATCTCTGCCAGCCCCCTTTATGTATTCCCTCTAACATTCCTTCTCCCAAATTGTTCTCTGTGAATCTTCCGACGGGGACAAGACTGGGACAAAATGTTTTCCATTCACTATGTGTAGTTAGTCCAAAAATATAAAAGACTGTGTCTAAGTGCTGCAAATCTTTTATTATGATTATTTTTTAAACCCCTGTGTGTTGTGGAGTTGTGGTTACTTTGTTGTGTTAACTACTGAAGCTGAGACTGCGCGGATGAATGGCACAGAACAAGGGAACATAATGGAGGCAATCAACCGTTAGGCCGCCTCACAATGCAATCCAGGCAATTAAAAGCTCACCAGAGTTTAAATGAAATGGTTCTACTTATTTCTGCACACCACACTGCACAGGCTATTATTTATGTCTTTTTTTAAAATTATGATTTCCCTTAAACTGTCAAATAACTCAGAATGGCAGGGTCTCAGAGGCAATAAGAATTTCCCTCAGAACAATTTACATGCCAATCTAAAACTAGTTGGGTCCTGATGTGCTATGAGCGACTTGTGCAATGCTTCTCAGCCCCACACACATAACTCTACCCAGACCTGCTCTTCTGGGTAGTGAGAGGAGGCTGCTGACTGCTTTCTGCCTTTCGGGTTTATGGCAAAGTGGTGACTACAAAATAGTTCTTTTTCTCCGACTGGTAAAGTTGTATAGTATTGCAAAGATTTCCTTCTCAACAGAAATGTGAGGATGTTCTCCAAAAGAAGGCACCAGAATGGAGTGTAAAATATCAAACTCCTTTTACGTCCAAGGCCAAACAGAATGCAAGAGTTTCAAATATTAATTGGCCTCTGAGTGCTAAATTAAAATGTCAACACAACAAAAACATTTTGTGAGGACAAGCAGGGTAGTGTTGCTTGTGCCAAATGTTGGCATTCCCTGTCTTGGTTGCAAAGCATTTTGAATAAAGAGAGCTGACCTTCCATGCCTGATGGTAGTAACACAACTTGGGAATATAGCTTAGCTACGACTAAAAAGGATATTTAAAAAAAAATTAGCTTTGTGACATAAAATTCATAGCCTTATAAATTGGATAATTAGAATAGCCACTCATAACACACCTCTAGATGTTTACAATAATGAAATCCAGAATGTCACTGAGTAAATCAAAATTTCTCCCTCCCCATAGGTATGTGGTTAAGAGACACTAGGGTATGATCTGGACTGTAATTAATGGGATTCATTCCTTGTGGAACCTTGTTAGAAGACAGTAACTAGTTCTGATCAAAGAAACTTCATTTGTCAGAAGTTCTAGAGAGTGAGATTTAGCAGAGCTATCAAGGGTCATGATTAATCTACACTATACCCTTAGTTCCTTCAAAGAAAAGGAACAGAAAACAGGCTATAGGAATACCACCTGCTCTTCTGTTCAAAGCCAGCTGCTAGTTTGCAGCGTCAGATACACAGCTCTGTGTATCACACCGAAAGAACAGCTACCCTGCTTCCCTCCATGCCATTGCTGACTCCATTGCTCCAACCAGAGAATTTATTTTCTAGTGGAACTTCAACATCATAACAATATTATGTGCAATTCATGTATTATTTGTAGCTAGGAAAGTTACCCATCTGTGATGGTGTGGTGCCTGGATGTCTCTCATCAGTGTGGTTAAAACAAGAAAAAGGTAGTGAAGGTGATAGAAGTGAAGTCTTCATCACAAGGCACCAGAGAAAACTGAAGAAGGTAGAACTCTTTTGGAGGGGGGAAGTACACAGAAAATGCTCAAGGCTGTAGCTTGACATTTTTCTTGAGGCTTTCAAATGCATGCACATTTGGTGTTTTGTATCCTTCTCTATCCAAGTTTCAAACTTTATGCCTAGGAGAGGAGGTGTGACACAGCGGAGGGGTCTCTGGACTGTAGGAAGGCCACCAAGTCTGGTGTGTAATTGTTGTTCAGCTTGGAGCAAGCCCCTTAATCTCTCTTATGCGTCTGTATCATAATTTGTAAAATGAGGGAATTTGAAATTGATGGATGTCTATAGTATTTTATAGTGCTTAAAATGAGTTATTTGGTAAATACAAAAGTGTGAATAGTTGGTCCAGCATTTTTTTTAAAGCTGGGTGTTTGACACTTAGGAAAGAATAAGAAACTCAGGAGAATATTCTTTCAAATTTCAGTCAAGGTATCAAATCTAAAGAACCCAGTTAAACTCCTTATTTATGATAAAAATATATCTCCAAAATATAGATATGCCCCCGTTTCTAGTATAGCATTTTATAATATATGTATATAGCACATTTACATAGGTGTAATTTTATAGGTATTTAGACTTTTTTTTCTGTTGTTTTCTATAAAATAAATAAGTGCAGGTTTATGCTAATAAATTACATAATCCAATACTTTAGTTTTATATACGAGTATGTAATAGTATATAGTTAGGTAATCTGCCATTAATAGAGGCACTAAATGGTGCTTGTGAGTATAAATACATTTTTTATTTTAACATAACAAATACTTTGAAATATCAAGGGCACAGAAGGAAGTATTTGGATGCAAACAAGTAACATAGCATTGGTGAGATTTGGGTGACTGTGCTGTGTACTTTACAAGCATCTTGAATGCTAGGTCAGGATAGTGTACTCCCATGAGGGTGTGCTCTGCTACTGTCATCAAGCACATATTAAGTGAAATTTTTAATCAGTTAAAAAACCCTCAATTTGGACTCCTATAGTCTGCATGGACTAGTTTGTTAAATAGCCTTCTTTTACGATTGTTAGCCATTTACTCACATTTTGTCCCTAAAGCAACCATGTTATATAGAGAATGGTGACACTATGGAGTTATTTAATGTTATTTAACTTTGTGTGTATAATGTCATCTTACTGTGTACAACACAAATTCATCACTTTCACAACTTTGTATGTATGGCTTTAGAAGTGATTCAATAAGGATGTTATAAAGGCTGAGCTTTTCTGTTTGCAAAATTTAGTTGGACTTTAGTACAGCCCTAAATAAGAAAGTCTCGTACTCCTAGAGAAAGGCAATATTAAATATTTAACTTGTTTGAGGTCTTTTGATATCTTTTGCTTCTTCTTGTAGTCCCAGCTTTCTTTCTTTCTTTCTTTTCTTTTCTTTTTTGGTTTTTGTCTCCTTTTAGGTATACAAATGCTCTCAGTCCAGCCAGACACCAAGCCGAAAGGTTGTGCTGGCTGCAACCGAAAGATCAAGGACCGGTATCTTCTAAAGGCACTGGACAAATACTGGCATGAAGACTGCCTGAAGTGTGCCTGCTGTGACTGTCGTTTGGGAGAGGTGGGCTCCACCCTGTACACTAAAGCTAATCTTATCCTTTGTCGCAGAGACTATCTGAGGTAGGAATTATCCTTGCACACCAGTGATGACTGGATTCCTTTTAAAATACTTTTGTAAGTGTATCTTTTGTTTCATTTCCTTACCACCAGCCTATATTCCTGAAAGATGTTGACCTGTCAGCCTTCAAAATGTTACCAGGTGCCTGTTAAGCAAATTATTGCTTAAGCAGCGATCAACAAAACATACTATGGACAGTGTTTCGATTTGGCTTACCTGGTTGCTCATATTTAGGGATATAGGTTATCCCTGCTGGTATTGAAAGTGCCAGTTCATGTCAAGGATGTGTTTGGTAGAAATCAGCATATGAGTATTTTATTAGACCATGAGCTTTCAGGGTGGGCTGAGTATAACACAAAATATTCAACTTTCTGTTTCAGATTCATCAATCTGTTTGAAATTCTCAACTGTTATTTATTAGTATATTTATTATGTAGTTTTGAAAACTTTCCCCCAAGTGTGAATACATCTTTCCCCCATGGTACTCCAGGTGATCACAGCAAGACGATCAGTGAGCATTAACAGCCTCACACTTGCCAGTAGCTTCATGGAAATTACCAAAATAAAGATCTCCATTGCAGTGGGAAATGACAGCCACTCTCCTTCCTGCAAACATCAGAACAGTTTCAGGACAAGGCAGATGCTCTTGCTTATGAATCCATGAAGCTGACTAAACTTGTTTCCCTGCATTTAGTACTCAACACATGAACTTCTCTTAGAAAAGTTATTTTGCTTTCCAGGGAACTTTGTGACTTGATTCAGCTGCAGATTATTTATATTAATAAAGTAGGATTTATCAAATTAAAGAAGTGATACATGGCATCATTTGGGTTTTCATAGCTGATATAATTAGTTTTCTAGTCAACGTTAAGTGATTTATTTTGAAAAATTTTTCCCCTTATGACACAAAATTTATCAATCAGCAGTAACTCCTTAATTATCTTGGTCATTTGGGGAGGTACTTTCTAGGAAATTTAGTGATTCTTACTATGTAGTTCAGTTATTTTTCAATCTGATTTAATCCTGATGTATAAAAATATACTGTTTGATTAACAGTAGTTACAAGAGGTTGAATTCAGTACTGTTTTTCAAATTCTAGTCTTCCCCTTCTTAGGACTGTAGCATCTGGCAGTCTCCTGACTAAGTATGACCACTTGTTACTCCTCTGTGTTCTTAAGTGCACAAAATACATGCAAAGTGCCAGCAATGGGAAGTGACTCTATAGCCAGGATTTCCCTCATTGTGGTGGCACAATTAATCAGAATTAATTTATTGCATGAATTCTTTAGAACTGAAGTCTTTGAATGTTTCTCTATGAAATAAAAATTTCTACTCTGTGCATTGTGAATTAGAGCCTTATTTCTGCATAGAGCATTTGTTTTGCTTTAAGTGACTTAACATTGCTTCCTAGTTTCGCTTTATCTTTACTAACGAATAAGCCATGGCTTCTTGACTCCTTTTTGACTTTTACATTTGTTTACAACTGTGGTATCTCAAGCAGATTTATGTCACAGCAATTCCAAAACAAGAAGTTTATATAGTCTAGCAGGGTTAAGGTGTCCTAATAAGCAATAAAGACAGAATTAAGTAAAATTTAAAGAAAATCTTTGAAAATATCTGGATTTTTTACATCAAAAATATAAATTTGCCAATGAAATACCTGTGTCCTGAGTGAAGTTGTTTTGCAGTTGTCAATATGATAGTGAGCGAGAAAGTAACCTTGGACTTGTTTTGGTTTATTCTGCCTTGTGGTAATAAAATGTGATGTTCAGTTGCTATTTGGTATCTCACATAAGTGTTTCATTGAAGGGAATTTTCAAAAAAGTTTTTACATCAGAAATTCTTATCTATCTCTAAGAGACTATGTGTTGTTCTTTGTGATACAACTTTTAGTTAATTTCTGATAGGCTCAAACTTTTAATGCTTGTTAACTTATATTTAAAATTCACACTTCTTCAAATATAAACCCTGGTCCTGATTGCCAATACATTCATTTCTCAGAGTATAATTTCCTCTTAAATTGGCCATTACCACATTAATGGCTAGTTGTTATGTTAACAGCCACAAAGTTGTTAACATTTCAAAATAAGTTGTTCACAGCAAGCTTATCCCTTATTTAAACTGAATGTTGTTGCATACAATGTAACTTCTTTGGCAACTAGTAATTCATCAACACTTGAAAATTGCAGAAATGAAATGGGAAGGTAATATGTGCGTAAAAACACTGCATTAGGTATTATATAGCTTATGCCACAGACGTGGTGTTTGGTTTTATGTGGCAAGCATGTAGTTCAATGAAATTGTGTGGATGTTCAATCACAGATGTCTCTGATTGGCACATTAAAATACTCTGATTTTGTATGTCAAATGGACAAATGCAATCAAGCCAATTTTATTTACAAATTAATTTCTTTGATTATGTGTAAATAGTCGTTTAAAATGTGTATTGAATGCCTGCTTTGTGCAAGGTATAATTATAGGTAATGGAGGAAATAACTAATGGACAAAGGGAGCTGCACCTAAAATTGTTTTGTCTGATTATTAATAATTGTGCAAAAGCTGCACTATGATCAGTGAACAAGTAGTGTTCTGTGGCTCTTTCCCTCCTAGTTCTGCACATTTCCTTTCTGTATTTTGCACAGCCAATGCATAACGATTTAAATCCAGTTAAAAATGGTTTGGTTTGGTTTTTGGTCTCTGGATATTACATAATTTCTTTGAGGCACCAAACGAGCCATAAGTAACTTAAAGGTTTGCATTTCTGTGTCCAAATCACTAGGCATCTAAGTAAGAATATGGAAAATGAGAAAGAAAAAAATAGTTTACCTATACTAGTAAGTTATTTGTTATAGGTATTATCCTGTGCTGGATAATTTTTTTCGTATCTATAAAAGAATGACATATTTTGCCGATTGTTTTTAACTTTCCGATAACTTCTTTCAAAAAAAAAAACCCAACACAATAAAACACTTCTAATTTTGAGCAATGAGTCTCGAAGTGCCAGTGTCTTGTTTTATGTTAGTTGGAGCCATCATAGTGATGGCCTGTTTATGCAAGTTCTTTGAATGATGAACACAAGAATTATAAACCATTATAAATTTCTCATGGGTTAGCAAAACTGTGATTGTGGTCAATGTTATTTCTCTCAGATTTTTTTTCTCCTCTGTGGCACAATTAGCTGTGTTTAAGAAAAGGAAAAGAAAATACAGTGCTGAATATCAAATCTGAACAGTTCACTTTCCATAACGACGCTGATATAATGTGTTTTATTCTTCTGTAGAATATAAAATGCATGGATCTAATGAGAGAATTTGCCCATTTGTAAGATTGTTCTCTACCTTCATTCATTACATAAAGGAAGAGAAGGATAGACTTTCAAAAAATTCCTCTGTTAACACACTCTCTGACAAACTATGAAGTCAATCTGCCCATCAATATTTATTTGCCAAGACATAGAAATGTATCTGTTAAAAATGTGCCCAACACATTTATAACTTTATATTATTAAAAGATGAGCTTATGAGCAATTAGAATGGAAGCATCTTTGTATCTTGAACTAGATCTTAAAATTAATAGACTGCCTAAAGTAGATTAACAATTATTGTAAAAAATAGCAAAGTTTTAGTAATGGTGTTTACAGGACTCTAATCACTGCCAAACTATAATCTTTATTTCAGTTTGGAAAATGTGAATAGAGTAGTTAATGTATAATCAGAATTTTAGAATTAAGATTTTGTAAGAAGTTAAACCTAAGGGAAATAAAATACTTTTCTACTTGGAGGCAGTAAATGCTATCAGAATTTATCACTCAAGCTCTTGGGTAATTGCTGTTTGATTTTTGGTAAGCCTAAAACTTTTTACTTGTGGTATACTTTAAGCATTAAGTCGAGAACAGGCTGTACCTTGCATCTCTATGAATGGTGTCTTACCAGAGAGTGTGTTTGAAGCTGTTGTCTGTGATGTGTACCGTGGAAGCTACTTACAGCTCTTCCTATATGAGAAGCGGAAACTGACTTATATAAATTTTAATGCAATTTGCTATTTTTATATGTGAGGATGATTTCTTTAAAATGAAACTCTCAAGAAAGAGTGATGCTTCATGCTCCACCAGCGTTGCCAATTAGCAAAAAGGATTTGAAGTTGCTGTGCTTACTACAAATTAATGGTTTAATATAATCATATAATAACTTTAAAATAGAACACTAAAATCAAATGCTACATAAAGTCTTAATCTAGCTAAAACTTCATTTCACACTAATCAAACCTGGCACCTCTAAATTTTTACGTAAGGTTAAATTTATATTAGTTCATGATTAAGACTTTAAAAGAAAACATGAATATGTTGTTAATATTATTTTATCTGACAACTTAGTGCATACTTTTTTAATGTTAAATAAAATGTTCATTCTTTTTTTCCTTTGTTGTCATCTTTTTAAAATAAGGCAGTTGAAAATATCTTCCCTGGAAAGTAATGCATTTTTATTATTTGAAAAATAACTTTTATTTTTAATTCTAAAAATTTAAGCTTTTATATGGAGTGAAACTCCTCCCAAATAAACTTTTTTTCTCTACAAGCTTCACTGAAGCTTTCTTACACTTTATTATACTCATAACTTTTACCACATTTAAATATCTAAGCTAACCTTAATATTATGAAATGTTTTGACATATGAGTATATTAGACTTTATGATCTGTTAGAAGACACCATTATATTCTTTGCAAATTTTCTTACCTTATTTGTAGCTTTATAAAAATTATATTTTAAGTCATTTTTTCTGTTTGTTATGGTAAAGCATTATTAAATTCTATTTTAAGTATTTTAGACTATATACCACTGATGGACCAGTATAAGTCAGGAGGGAAATTCTGTTTTGTAAAATACTTTGGGAGACTCTCCCTTGCTTCAGAAAAAAAATGGATGGATTCACACCAGCATTCTGCAGTGTCAACTTCTTCAGAATAATCTCTTTAAAATATTTCATTTAATATAAGGACAATTTC